CCCCCCCCGGTCCATTATAAATCTTTTTTTATTTCGGCATTTTCCGGTTTTACAGTTTTATTTATTGATCAATATAAAAATTGTGCTGCGAGAAAAACTTGCATAAGAATTTCACCCGATGCTAATTTCAGAATTTGTAAAATGATCTAATATGTCGGGACGAGGAAGCAAAGATAAAACCAGATTTGCTCAGAGTGGAACCAGGAACAGGATCTACCAGCGGAAGAAAAGTTTTCCTGACTCCGCCCGACTTGAATCTCCGGACGGTCGGTTTGAGTTTACGGACCTGGAGAACGTGGTTTCGTCCCCTGTCACCCTGGCGGACTTGAAGGGGAAGGATATTCTCAGCAGCTCCGAGTTCTCCAAGAGCTTGCTCAAGGTTCCGAAACCAATGTCTCCTAATCCGAGTGAGTCTTCAGCGTTGATGGCGAGCTTCTTAAAATCTTCCTGTAACTCCCCGGACCATTCCAGCGGAGAGTACAGTTTTAACCAGAAGAATTTCGAGAATATGTAAGTTAACTTAGAAATTAAGAATACAATTGGAATGTTTTTGTAAAATTTCACAGGAGAAATAATTGCATGAGTTGTTGTTTCTTTATTTGTTATGTTGTTTTCCTCTCAATGATGGACAATTCATATTTTTCCCCCTAGATTGAGTCCCCTAGATCCAGTCAGATTGAAAGTAGAGAATAAATATCTAAAAGATGTTCTTGTGTCGCAGCTAGATCTTATTCAACAACAGGTAGCAGATATAGTACATCTTATCAAAAATTTGTTTTAAAAAAAAGATAATAAAAAGACTCCTGAAAGTAAAGATTTTAAGAATACTTATTGCATTTTATTTTTTTAGTCTACAAAATTTTGATTTCGCTTCTGGCTTGAGGTTTTACCGACAAATGCAATAAATTATGTTTTCATTTTTTTTTCTTTAAATTCTATTTTTCTGCAAATTATGATTTAAACTATTAGAAAAGAATTAGTTCGCATGAAGTAATTAATATTTTAATTATCTCCAATTGTTGAAAGTTGATAACTTGATGATAAATTATCTAATATTTAATATCTTTGCATTGTTTGTATTTTTAGTCTGAGACCATTTTATCCAAAGACAAGCAACTGAAGGCGTTAAGAATGGAGAATGAGCTTCTCCAGCAGAGACTGGAGAGACGGGAGCGGAGACGGGTTCGAGGAGAGTCGGAGGTTGAGAGTTCAAAAAGTTCCCTCCGAGACTCCTCCGAGGCTCCGGGTAAGGAGTTGAATGCAAGGAAGAGGCCCTGTGTATCCTCCTCTTCCCTTCCAATCATGAATAAACGTACAAAAAGAGAAAACACTTGTGATCCCGAGGATTTTATTCCGGCCGGGTTGCCGGAGAAAACCGTGAAAGTGCCTGAATTTCCTCGGTTCGACGATTTAACAGACGAAATATCCCTATCCCGCCTTGGTGATGACGTAAAACCTGTAGAACTTACTCCGACTCCGCCTCCGCCTAATATAAGACTCTCTGTTACCTCTGAAACCGGAGAAACTGGTCCTGAGGTGTCGGAGACGAGTGAAAGAAAGAAAAAGAATCAAAGAAAACCGTCTACCGTTCCTTCGCCTGTTCTCGGTGAGATAACTCCAGAACTGAAAAATATTGATAAAACTGCTTTTGAATTCATAAAAAGATAAAAATGTTTTTCTTGAAAACTTTGAGAAAAAAAACTATTCTCAAAACGCAAAATAATCTTGGAAATTGGAAAGAAAATTTTTTAAAAGACATTTTTTGAAACGTTTACGTATCTCATGAGTATTGCCACACATTCTGATTTTCTAATTCATAAATCTTTGCAACCTGGATGTCTTAGACCTTTGATATTTCAAATTCTGAATTCTGTTAGATAAAACAATTAATGTTTGAAATATCAGCAGGTTTCAAAGATAATTGGAGTAATAATATTGTGTTTGTGGCAAACACTCAATTCCTTTGATGTGTCAAAAACACGCGAATAAGTGAAAAGTGAATGAAATATATCAATACTCGGTTTGAAATTTTCTTCTTATGTAAGTTTTTCAATTTTTTTTATTCCTAGGAACCTTTGAACCACTGTTTACTCCATATCATTACTTTATCGGGTGCAGGAATGATATAATAAACAACGATGATAAATTGAACGAAGTCGCCGCTCTTCAACGGGGCGTAGAGGTAAAAAATTACTTAACGAGGTTTTTAGGGTGTAAATTTCAGCATTAGTTAATATTTTTTATGCTGCTATGATTTGTGACAATTCCCTTTCCGTATAGTTAAAACAGAAGGAATGAAAATTTCGCAGTTTTAAAATAATAAAATGTTTGAAAGATCTTGTGTTCTGAATCTGATCAACTACAAACCACCCCTGAGCCAATGTTAGGTTCCATTTAACCAGTACTTAGGATCCGTATACTTTGGATCCTCAAGAATTTGGTTTCCTGGATCCGGATCCGGATTGGCAAAAATATCCGGATCCAAGGGGCAAAATATCAACCAAAACTGAAAAAAAATTCACTTTCAAAACTTCAATCTTATTTCTGATTGATTCGTCAATAAAAATATGCGAACAAAAATAAGACAAAAAATAGAAAATTTTGCTTTGTTAAAATAATTCAGTAAATTTTAAAGAAATAATGTGGATGCGGATTTGGATCCGATTCCGGATTCATTTTTTTCAAGTGCGGATCCAGGATCCGCATCAAAATTAAATGAATTCTAAGCACTGTTGAGTCCAGGGTTTCATATATTAATGAAAACCCGGGGCTGTTGAACATTTAGCTATTTGATATAAAAAAGTGTTTTACTTTCCGGATCCAATGAGCTTAAATGCTGCGGATCCAATGGATCCGGGTCCTAAGCACTGATTGTTACATAATTCTTTCAAAAAAAAAAACATTCTTGGCAGTGACTCGGTGAGGCCCGATTAGATTTATCGTTTCAACTCTTAATCACAAAAATACAAGAGAAATTTAACATTTATCTGCAGGAAACTAATTGGTCGGAAATATAATTGTTCTAGGCTAAAATTCTGATTAATCAATGTGTAAACCAATGATAATGTAGGTACCAAAATGGAGGGAAGATAAGGATTATACAACTAGGATGGCTAAGATTAACTCATCCACAAAAAAGGTAACTGTTTGAAACTTTGAAGTACATTTAGTACATTTGTGTTTAATCTATGTAAAGATTTTATCTCAATGAAATAAATAAAATTGAAGATTTATTATCGATCAATAAAAAAAGCTCTTTGTCTGAATTTCAGAATTGAAATCAGGGAAAAAAATTCTTTTTAAAATTATGATTTTATCTAGAATCCATTCTTGAATAAGTACAAGGAGGGGGACGAGCTTCTAGATGATGTCGTCTTCCTCAAACGACATGAGAAACCGGAAATTGCAGAGAAGAGGCAGAAAAAGTAAGTTCAGTGAAAGTGATCACTACCCCTTTTTTATTTTTGTGACATTTTATTTTTAAATTTTTTGCAACATTCTTTAAATATTTATATGATATCAGATGAAAATATTTTGACATTTCTATATTTCTTGTTCTTTATTTTCTTCTTGTTCGCACATCTTTCAATCATATTTCGGCTAATTAATTAAATATGAAGAATACAACGAAAAGAAAATATGGTTAAACATTTGATGGTAAACTATAAAAAAATATTTAAAAAAAAATATTTCTTGTCTAAATAGATGGGATATACAGCGGCTCCGTGAGATAACATATTGTGAGAAATTAAAAGCTCGCCAACATGGAGCTGGGAGAAACAAGAAAACTGAACCAGACTCCCTTCTACCCACCCCGGAGGTAAAGTAAATCCTTGTTTGCGAATTTTCTTCTAAAGTCGCCTTTGTAATGTTAGTAAAAATAAGACGATCTCAAGATTGATGTTGATTTTCTTACATAAATAATATTTCTATCATTTGTGGATGCTATATCAATTGAACTAACGAACAATTGCACTAAAGTCAGCTGTTCACAAACCGGTTTTTAGTCCATTTGAACCTTAGTACATATGAACAAAATAAAAATTAATTATTTTCAAATGACTAATTAAAAAAAATTTTTTTTTTACCACATTGGCATTCTTATTCGAGAAATTTGTGGCCGCAGCGCCGGCCCCCTATATTAATATTAAATCATATAATTTTTGTATAATTTTTGAAAACTTAATTTTTTTTTAAGATCTAGATTTAAGATTTTTATTATCTCCGTATCGAGATTATTTTAAAGATACAAAATTGTTTATATTATTTTTACAAAAGACTATTCATGTTAATACATTTGTATTTTAGTAAAGAAAAGTCCTTTAGTTTACGGATACATTTTTCATTCTTTCTTTCCAAAATTCCTATTACATTCCGTTTCTTAGGGGAAAAAATCTTTTTTCAATTATTTTGGACTATGGAATTAATTAGAGTTAAAGTATTGCTGAGAATAGGGTTCTCTTTTTTGTAGTTAGATTGTGTGAAATTAAAGAACATCATTATCATCATTATTTAAAAAATTAGTTCAATTAAACAATTTTTTTAAAGAAGAACTATAGTCCTTTTGAACGTTAGTCCAAACGAACGTTAGTCCAATCGATCATTAGTCCAATTGATATGACACCCATTTGTGTGCCTTATTAAAGAAGGTTTTTAAAATTAAATTCACCGTCAAAATATTTTTCTTATCCTTAAAATCATTTTTTAAAATGTTACCAATACCCTTCCACTGAAAGAAAATATTAACAATTAAGCTAGAGTGCAATTTTTTGGAATGGAGTCAATTTTTTTTTGATTATGAGTATTTTGTTTAGGCTGCCCAGAGAATACAAATATTGAAGGACGGGAAGGTTCCGGTCACAGCATTCGGAGAACCAGTCCCTTCACTAGAAAAAACGTAAGTTTTTGACTATTTTTAAAAAAGATTTTTTAGTTAACATAACAACTACTTAATTTTTGCAACCTTTTTAGGTCATTTTGGAAAATATGTTTTCTTTTTGAAGAGGTTGTCGAAAAGGTTTTCTAAAATTAAGTTTTTGAAAGGTTAATGTAAGTTAGATCATTCTTAACCCTAAACAGGCTGGGAAGAGGGGGGCGTTTGGCGCCCCCCTCTATTTTTTTTTTGCTTTGACTTTAAATAAATAGAAATAAGGATTTTTTGCAATTTTTTTATGCATAGGGCGGTAAAAAGTCTGGTCTGTGTAAAAAAAATCTATAAAGCCCATAACTTTTTTATGACTAAAGCTACAGACTGATATTTGTTTTAAACAAAAAAAAATATTTTTATATTTTATTTTTTTTTGTATTTTTTTTCAACCCTCCGTAGCACCCAAACTATAAAAGTTATCTATCTAATTTTTTTCAATGAGCTGGCCTCGAAAAATTGGGCGTTGAGCATGCATTTCAACCCTATACCTATTCTCCAAGGCCCCCCCATTCTATACATAGATTCAGAGCCCCCCGCCTTTATAGGGTTAAATCATACAGTCATCATATTCGATTTTGGAGATAAATGGAATTGAAAATCAAATTACTTAAGAAACAATCAATGAAAAAAGGGGAAATTTTGCTGATCATAATATTTGCTGAGAGTGATCGCTGATCATAATATTTGCTGAGAGTGATCACTGATCTTAATATTTGCTGAGAGTGATCACTGGTCATAATATTTGCTGAGAGTGATCACTGATCAAAATATTTGCCGAGAGTGATCGCTGATCATAATATTTGCTGAGAGTGATCACTGATCATAATATTTGCTGAGAGTGATCGCTGAACAAAATATTTGCTGAGAGTGATCGCTGATAATAATATTCGCTGAGAGGGATCGCTGATTATAATATTTAAAGGGACTGTAAACGTTATTGCAAGGGATCCTCCCTTGATAGAGCGGAATATCCAGTTCACAATGGTACTCGTAAAACCGTTGTCTGATCAATAATGAATGAGCTATCCATATTTCTCTTTTTGAAATTTAATTATTCTAATTTCTAGTTTCTTGACTTGTGGATTTTTGCTTCTAGAAACAATGAATTTGATTTTCAGAATTTAACACTTTTCAAGCTAGAAAAACGACAATATCTTCTTCATCATTGATTAAAAAATGGCTTAAAGAGCCTCTTTGTGCTTCAGACGTTCTAGTCTTTAAATAGAGGGTCACTAGAAAATACAATGACAGTCCCTTTAAATAGAGGGTCATTAGAATATATAATGACAGACCCTTTAAATAGAGGGTCATTAGAATATACAATGACAGTCCCTTTAAATAGAGGGTCACTAGAATTTGCAGTATGCCACACTACAAGTTAGATTTGATATTTCTTATAATTATGATAATAATTATGATTATAAGACTTATTTTAATTATGAATGAAATTTAGATATTTCTCCCTGCCCTGGTTGGATGTAAAGGAGGAGAGAAGTTTCGTCCAGAGAAGACCCCGACACACCTCTCTTTAGTCTCCTCGCCCTGTAGATTACACTTGGGACAGATGTACTCTGGAAACTGTGTACTTTGGATATCTCAGTACACTTAATTCTTTTGTAGCTTGTGTACATTGGATGCCTCAGTACACTTTACTCTGTAGTCAATTTACTTTGGATGCCTCAGTACACTTAATTCTGCAGTCTGTGTACATTGGATTCCTCAGTACACTTTATTCTGTAGCTTGTGTACTTTGGATGTCTCAGTACATTTTACTCTGTAGCTTGTGTACTTTGGATGCCTAAGTACACTTTACTCTGCAGTCTGTGTACATTGGATGCCTCAGTACACTTTATTCTGTAGCTTGTGTACTTTGGATGCCTCAGTACACTTTA